TTTCTTTCTTTCTTTCTAAACAGTACTTTCTGATGCAGGCTACTTACAGTAATTATTAGCACAGCAGGGCAGGACTGTTTCAGCTAGATGGGAAGTAACAGTTCCTAAGTAACAGTGATTCATGCTCAGAGAGAGCCACTTAATGTGGTAGGCTGGGAGAGGCTATAAGTGAGAACTGAGCGGATGCCATCAAACACGTCAGGGGAGGACTGTTGCTCAAAGAGCTGTTGCCTTTGATGTGCTCCTTGAAAGGGCCATTCAGGACATTAATCAGCCTTGGTCACCTCCCTCTCCCTGTGGGAATCTTCCAGGTCAGAGGACAGGTAAGGGTCTTCTGCTCTCAAATTCAGAAATGAGATTCTAGAGGACGCTGTAAAGGCATCAATCTCTCAGGATTATTGTATTCATTATGTATTGAAAACATAGTAACTTTTTAAAAATTAAGATAAAAATTTAGAGGTATAAATAAAAGGAAAAGCCAGTCTTCAAAACTAAACATCTCTGCACCTCCAGAATAGAAGAGCAGCTCAGGCAAGGTCAGGGCACGCACCACCCACTGTTTTACTTCTAGTATAGTCTTTGGCCTAAATTTACATTTCTGTTTCTATCTTGGGGTGCTACATGAGGGAAAGACCAGCAACAACCTTTCCTCTGAAAAATGGGTTCTGGCAACCTTGACTGTGATGATTTCCAATGAAATATGAAGGTTATTGACTCTTTGGATCTATCTCCCCATGTTCACCCTCATATTTCTCCATTAGGGGAAAGTGCTGCCTCTTATACATTGAAGGAGCAAAGTGACACGCACTTGTTCCATCCCAGAGCTGAACTGTTCAAAACTTAGGTTTCACTGTCATGGCTTTTGAAACTATTCTATTTTTTCTTGTATCTCAAAGTATCAAGGGAAGAAAGAGATATCCCAAACTGAAATCCTTGAAGAGGATTTTCTGATGGGGCTATTTACAAAGAAGGGCGAGTTGGAGCATTTTAAGGCAAATAACTGCACTACTTACATGACTAGCCATAAGAGGCAGGAGAAAGGGCAGTGAAAAACAGGGTAGCTGCACTTGTAGCCATAGGCGTGGATGAGAAGAAAGAGAGGCACTGGTACCTGTCAACAGAGGACTCCATAGACAGAGTGCTACAGTGTGAAAGCTAAAACAAACAAACAAAAACTCTACACTGAGCTCCTCCAGCACTTCGGGCTCATGAATGGTCTCTTTCATGACTCAAGAGACTTGGAAATGAAATGAAAGAGTACCTCCTTGACCAGGCTCAAAGAACCTTCCTTCTTGGGATAGCAGCAGGAACAAGAAGAATGAAATTAAAATCTCCCTGACAAATGAGACTGTGCTTCCAATGTCCTTATATCTTTTTACTTCCTGGGATTTTCTTTATGCAAACACCACTGGATTGTTTTTCATCTCACATCCATCAGGATTTTCTTCATTTCTTTTTTTGTTATGTTTTCAACCTCTTTCTCTAATGTCATTTTTAAATAGCAGTCAATCTCAATAATCAAAAATACATTATACAGATCTGGGCATGGTAGTATGTGCCTTCAATTTCACTGCTCAGGAGGCTGAGGCAGGAGGACTGCTGGGAGTTCAAGGTCAACCTGGGCTACAAAGTGTATTCAAGTCCTGCCTGAATTACATGATGAAACACTGTCTCAGAAAGACAGAAAAAAATTATACAATTTAAAAAGTAAAACATAGTACTTTGAGTTGGTGTATAAGTTTTGATGTTCTAACAGAGAACCTGTAAAACAATGACATATAAGAAAAGAAGTTAAACCTTGCCTCAAGCCTCCTTCTGAACTCCTTCTCCTAAACTGAGTGTGGTGGTTCACACATCTAATCTCAGCCCTCAGGAGGCTCAGGCAGGAGGATCACCATGACTTCAAGGCCAGCCTGGGCTCCATAGTGGCTTTAAAGCCAGCCTGAACTGCATAGCAAGACCCTGTCTCAAAAAACCAAATAAACATAGATAAATTTCTGCTCCTAAACCTAAATGTAAGAATGGCTCCTCATAGCTCCACATGGCTCTCAGGTCTAGGAGCACCCAGGCTCAGGGAGAGGAAAAGGGAGTGATGGTGATGGCAGGAAGTTCTCTCCTGCTGATCCTAAGAGGCCAGAAAGTGTCAGGTTGCTCTGCCTCTGTCCCATGTGGCAGTGTCTAAGCACATGGTGCCAGGCAGCATGAAAGGCAGTGGGGAACTGGGTATTTTTCTGTTATAAACTCTCAGAATTGTTATATAGCATAATGGAAATGGAGATTTGGGGGCACCTCACTATCTACAGTACCTGCTTGCTACATTCTGGGTCTTACGGTGCAGGGGAATGTGGTGTTGCTGTTACTCTGTGGTCCCCCAGAGCTGGTAGCATGAATCTCACCCATGGCAAGCAGGGCTGCTTCCCTCAGAGCTGCCTGAGCCCTACCACTTGCACCACAGCACTTTGCGGG